AGCAGGGATGCAAGGGGGGGCCTGACATGGCTATGTGCTCGGCAGGTGGACTTCCCACTCTACGACCCTCCTGCCTACTCGGCCGACCACAAGGACATGGCTGTGCAGGACCCGTTCAGCCCGTGAGTGTCTCCCTGTGGTTCCCCACTCCTCTGCCCCTTCCCCTGGGTGGCACAGCCAAGCCTCCCTGCTGGGCTGCCTCCCACCCCTCAGCTCCTTGGAGTCTCTCCTGAAGATCAACTACAACACCATGGATGGGCTGATCAACCGGCAGAGCTTCCACGGCCTCTACGCCGTGCAGGACGGGCTACCGCTGTGAGTGCATCTGCCACGGGGGCAGACAAGCTCAGTGGGAGCTGGGGTGCCTGCCTGTAGGCAAAGAACCATGGAGACAGAGAATCTGCCCCCCACCAGGGGGGCCTGGGTGCATCCATCCCCTTCCCGCTTCCCTACAGCTAATGGTGGGGCAGGGATAATGGCACACATCATCCTCAGAGCTGTCCCCCCAAAAAAAATCCGTAACCCCAGAAGAGGTGCAGTGCAGTGGTGGAAAATCTGGGGAAGCAGTATAGGGCTTTGATCAGCGTGACGGGGTGCGCAGAGGGACCCTGGCGTTATCCCAGCCTGCTTGCTCTTTTCCTGCCAGGAACCCCATGGGCAGGACAGGGCTGCGAGGCCGTGGGAGGCTGCACTGCTTTGGGCCCAACCATGCCCTGCACCCCGTTGTGACCCGGTGAGTGTGTGGGGACAGAGAGATGTCCTTGCTCCAGGACGGGGCTGGGGAGGTGGAATGGAAAAGGGGGCACGAAGCCATCTCAGAGACACTGGAACCTGGCAAAAAACCCACCCCTGCCCATTCAACCACTGCTGGGTAGGGGGGAGCTGAGTCCAGCTGCAGCATAACAGGGGCCTCTCTCACAGCTGGAGGAGGAATTTGGATGGGTCCATTATAAGGAAGAACCTGAAGAAGATGTTGGAAGTCCTAGTAGCCCAGTACCCGCTGTCGGATGTCTGGGCTCTGCCCGGGGTAAGAGCTAGTGGAAACCAGCTGGCGCAGAAGGGTCTGGGGAGACAGGGCTGGCCCAACCCAATGGCTGGATGCCCTGCAGAAAAGGGAGAAACACAGATGGGTGTCACAGCCTTGTCCAAGGAGGTACCTCTGCCCCCTCCCACAGAGCATCTGGGGGGGCTGTGCTGCCAAGACTGCTGGGGGAGCAGTGGTGAGGTTACATACCCCCACCCACCCTTACTCCCTGTCTCCTGCTTCTCCCTCCTCCTTGTCCTCTTCCTCCTCCACATCTTCTGTTCTCACGTGTCTTTCATGACATAAGCCATTGGCATAGCGTCCTTTGACAGAGAGGTCCAGACATTGAATCAGGCAAACTCAGATACATGCTTGGGCACAGCTGAGGACCTCTGGCAGGAGAGGGAGGGAGGGAGGGAGGGAGGGAGGTACCACCGCTGCTTGCTCCCCCCACCAGAGCTCACACTGCTTCTGCAGTGGTAGCAACTGCCCGAGGGCCAAGCTGGTGGCGGTGACGGCGGCTGGGCTGGGCTGATGGCAGGCCCCATGGCTGATATCTGCTTTGGCACAGGGGTCACTGGAGCCGGGTGAGATGCTGCCACTGAAGCTCAAGTGGATCCTGCGCCGAGAGTTCTGGCCCCAGTTCCAGAACTTGCTGAAACGAGGCACTGAGGTGGGGGGCACGCAGGTGTCCCAGCGGTACAGGGGCATGCGGGTGTTACAGCGGTACAGGGACATGCAGGCACCACCCCAGTACAGGGGCACACAGGTGTCATGGCAGTACAGGCACATGGGGGCATCACCACAGTACAGGGACATGTGGACATCATGGTGGCACAGGGGCACGTGGGTGTCCCCAGGGTACAGGGGCAGGGTGCATGGTGGTGAGGTCATACCCCCTTGGTCACTACTGCCACCGAGGAGAAATGGCTAGGGGAGATGGACACACGCTGTAATGGCCTTGTACCGTACAGGGGTCTGGGAGGCAGCCCAGGGACCTGAGGTGGGCTGCACACACCTGTGTCCGTGCCTACTGCGATCACTCTCCGTGGCTGCAGCTGCAGTGGGAACAGGGCGCTGGTCTCCAGCGGGGCAGAGGAACTGTGGGGTGATGCCCCACCACCCCAGGGCCTCTTGGTGCCCTCAGAGAGGTGGTGAGGGCTCTGCTAATGTGGCATTCCTTCACCATACGCAGATACACAAGGGGTACCTTGATGATCCCCGCAATACAGATAACGCCTGGGTCGAGACAGTTGCCATCAACGTGCACTTCAACAACCAGAACGATGTGGAGATGAAGCGGCTGAATTCGGTATGGGCCCCCCGCCTCCACAGCTCCCTGACCCGGCTCTCAGCGGGCATGGGGCAGGGGAGCCAGATCTCCAGACCCAGATCTTGCCCTCATCAGGAGTGGGCTTCTCCAGCTGCATGCAGTGGAGGAAGAACATGGGGATGAACATGGGCTGGCACTGCGCCAGGGGCCCCAAAAAGAAAGGGCAGGAGGCTGGGGACTGGAGGTGCTGTTGAGCATGGCTGGCACGGCCCCTCACCAGCAGCACGTACGTGATGTCTCTGGTCCCCTTCCAGTTCCTCCAGGGCTGTGACCCGGAGCTGTGCATCCGCTGGCAGGTGCTGGACAGGAGGATCCCCCTGCATGCCAACCACAAGGAGCTCCTGCACAAGGTCTCAACCCTTCTCGACGCCTACTACTAAGTCCTCAATCACAGGCCAGGGCTCCTGCTGCACCAGACCAGCTTCTGGTTGGGACCTGCAGCTCTACCACAGCTCACCTGTGAGACCATGGGCAGCTACTGGAGACTAGGTACTTTGGTTGCCTCTGTGAATGTACATTGCAGGTCTCTGGGAGGAAAACTGTCCCCTCCCCAGCAGCCGGGGGCAGGGGCTGCCTGGGCAGTGCCTACGCAGTATCCCGGTCACCTGAGCCACCAAGCTCAACTCCAGCTTGTCTCTCAGTGCTTCCACATCAGCCGCAGCACTAGGCCACTGTAAGGTATTCCTTCTCTCAGCTCCCACCTGCTCTTTGCTTTGGTGTGGACACTGGGGACTTGCCAGCCCCAGCCACTCCTCCACCCAGGATATCCATCGGGCACCTCTGCTCCACAACTCCTGCTCTGAGCCCTGGCAGCTCCACTGCCACAGCTCCCAGAGGATTGCTCTGGAGAAGGCTTGGGGTCTTTTGCACCTAAAGCTCCTGACTGTCTTGCAAGTCGCTCCTATGGCAGCTGTCCCCATATCTCTGGTTGCCTCAGACCCAACAACATGATCCTGAGCTGTGATCCAGCACTTCTGAAGTTGTGAGCAGCTCTTAGCTTATATACCTATGGTTTCATAGCTCCGCACAGGTCCACCCCCCATGTCCCATACTGTTATGTGATCCTGCGTGTGTATGCTGAGCACCATCTCGTAGCTGACCTCCTTCCCTCTGTCTGAGCCAAGGCACCAGCTAAATGTCACCTGGCTGCCCTCATCCCCTTGTGCACATGGACAGAAAGGGGCAGCTTGCTGGGACCCAGGCGATCCATGCTCTGTGGTCCCTTGGGCAGATAGGGACAAGAGAGAGGACATCAGTGTGTCCATCCCAGACATCTCTGCTCTTACGGGGTCCTTCATGCACCTTTTCTGTTGCCTGCCATGGGGAGAACAAGGCACAGTGGAGCCATTCCTCGACAGCCCAGAACAGCCCCATAGTGGCTTATTATGCCTGGGACTGCTCAAGGAGGGATTTCAGTTCCCCCACCCTCTCCTGATGGATCAGACACTGGCCAGCCAGGGCTACTCTTCCCACACTGGTGGCCACTACAGCACAACTGCAGTTTCACCAGTGATGCACTGGGGCTTGGTGAGGGGGAGTGGGTCAGACTGGCAATTTAGTCAACCCAGCTCAATAAACCATGTATTAAATAACTAAAGACTGGTGGTCTGTTATGGCTATTTAACCAGGGGCCATTCCTGGAGGCCATGCTTGGAGCGCACTTCCAGGATGAGCCCAGTTTGAGCGTTCCCACCCCCAATCTTGTTGCATAAACTCACTTTGCTTGCAGACTCTCCCCCCCAGTGCTGGCTGCAGTGATGATGACACATTTGGAGTCAGTGTGGGGAGCTGCTGGAAAGGAAGCTGTGTGCCAAGGCGGTGGCACAGTACCTTCTCCCATTGCTCTTGGCCCGCGCGATGTCTGCTTGTGGTCTCCCATCACTGTGCTCTGCCAAGAGCCGGCACAGGGAGGGCCAGGCCAGGGGCATGGCTGGGGAGGGAAGAGGCGATTGTGCCTTACAGCAGCTGATAAAGCTTCTAGACCCGCAGCCTCGAACCAGCAAGCAGCAACCACAGCCTAAGAAGAATTGCTGAAACCTAATTAGCTTCACTCAGTTACAGCACAAAAGGGCTCCATCCAGCCACTCACCCCACCACCCTGGTCCATCAGTTTCCTCGTCCGGACCCCCCGCGCTGCCACAGGGCACT